TTTGATATGTCAACACATAAGCCATAAATTATATTCTTTTTAACTTTACTAATATTATTTTAGTTCACACCTAAGTTTTAATTTAACTAAACTTATTTTCAAAACTAGTCCATTGTAAATCATTTTAATCATTTTTCAAAACTAATTACAATTTATAACCACATCTATAATAACAAACGTAAACTTTAATTGATATTTTTTTTTTTTTTGCTAAAATGGTGGAGACAAAGTGCCCCTCAACCAAAAAAAAAATCATTTGTAGAGGGTTCAACAACTTAGACACATCACGTTTAACAGTTTCAAAAACAAAAACAGGAATAGATGTAAAACAGACATCACTATGAGCATAATGTAAGGCATATTGAGCAAAGGATATGGATATAATTATTTGCTCAATTTACTGCCACCTGGGAATTAAACTTAATAATCAACTTAGAATCCATGATGGTATGAATGTCTTATTCCATGAACAATGGCTCACAATTCAACCATATCAACAAAATCACAATTCATAATAATAGCATATCTAGGTATAAATTTCTCCTTTTCATCTTGAAACAAACCACCGTAAGTAGTCTTCCCTTCTAACATCTTGAAAGAAGCATCACAATTCAGTTTAATAGCCCAAACTCAGTGGCAACCAGAGATTTATATCATTAATCAAGCCATTTGAGATTTCATGTCCCTACATTGTTTCCATTTTCACTATTTGACCAATAACTCATTTGAGAGCTAAAGCTTTATACCAAATATCTAGATGAGATACATGCTTTTGTTGGAAAACAAGCTCATTCTTTCTCCACCAGATCCTTGTCAAGGGTGGCACCAAAGAGCTTACACCATCAAATATCATTGAGTTCTATTTGAAATGATATTTCTATAAATCCACGGGATCACATCCCAACTCCAAGAGATGGGCATGCGAGCTTCACCCCATGCAAGCTTCCAAACCTCAACAAATTTAACACAATCATGAAGGGCATGAACAACTATTTTTAAACCCATTCCATAACTAGGACAAGTGGCCTTACTAGCCATATGGTGCCTAACCTTGATATCATTTGTGGAAGAATGTTCTTTACAACACGCCAAAAAAGCAACCTTATTTGCTTAAGTCCCTATCATTTTCAAAAAAACATTTAACATTCATACTTGGAACCTCATTAACTAGACTCGTATGGGCAATTCTTGTGGAAAAATCCCTGTTTGTTGACAAGGCCTAGGTCACCATATCTTCACCCTTTGACCCCAACAACAACTCGACAAGCTCAATATGATCAATGATATTAAGGTTATATAAATCAAGCAAGAGAAACATGATCCCACTTACTATCATGATTAACAAAATTACACACAACTAGGCTTGTTTGGGTCCTAACATCCATATTTGCAAGATTACACAGGTTGTTATCAATCTCATCACAAATAGACCAAGGTAGGAGTGAAGCTTGCATAACTTACATAAGGAGGGCTTCCACTAATTTTGCAAGTGTAAGACAACCTACAAAAGATAAATTATTGGTTTCCTAATTACTAAGTCACTGGTTTTTCTAGTCAATAATAAATTGGAAAGATTACTTGGTATTCATTTACTGGTGAAAAGAGACATAAAGATATTTCCTTAAGTCATACGATCTTTGAAAGCCAAGTTTTTGAGCTACTTATTCTATTATCGGGTTACTAACATTATTAGAGAAATAGACTATAATTTTCTTTGAATTGACCTTTTTCCCCAACTACTCATAAAAAAGGTTCAAAATTTGATTAATGATGTTATCTTGATCAACACTTGCCTCCACAAATAATAAGATATCATATACAAAAAGCAAGGTAAGAGATACTAGGACCATCCCTTGAAATTCGGATGGGTTTCCAAAGCTTATGATCAACAACTATAATCAAATGGAAAAGGGGCTCAATACTGAGCATAAAAAACTATAATCCCTTGTTTTATTCCTTTAAATCAAGTGAAAGAGTCAAGCATTTCCCCATTCCATAAAACTCTCACATTAGTAGAGGAGATACATTGATACACCATGTGGACAAAATTGTTAGGTGGCCAAATATCTTGAAAGGTATTAGTGACAAATGCCCATTTCAACCTATCATAAGCTTTCTCCATATCATCTTTGACAACTAACCAACCTTTACCACTCCTTTTACTTTTCATAGTATGAATTATTTTTTAAGCAATGATGATATTATCACAACTATTATGGTTGGGTATGAAGTTACATTAGTAAGAATGTATTGAGGTCTTCATAAAAGTCTCAACCCCCGAACTAAATTTTTTGCAATGGCCTTATAGGAAACATTACAAAGAATAATGGGCCTAAACTGCTTCAATAACCTCATGGTCTACCTTAGGAATCATAGCAATGAGTTTCATTTGAAAACCCTATAATTGAATGACCCACAAAGCAATGCTTGGTCAAGTTATAGAAAGATTTACTCACTACTTCCCATTGACTTTTACAGAAGTTGACTTAAAACTCATCTACAAAAGGTGCCTTGTAATTTCCCATGAGAAACACACATGAAGAATCTCCTCATTAGAAACAAGGACCTTGAAAGAATCCAAAATAGAATTCGACAAAAAAGAAAAGGATCCTCAAAGACAAGAAGTAGTAAAAGGAGAAGAATCATTGAAGACAAGAACTGGTAAAAGAAGAGGAATTAGTAAAAAAAATATTATGATAGTAATTTGTGACTAACCTTTTCAACTTCTCAAAATCATTTATCCAACAACGATCCTTATTTTGAATGATATATATGAAATTCTACCTTCATTTAATCATTGTAACGGAAATACTTAGTGTTGCGATCTCCATAATAAGTTATCCATTTAGTATGAGATCTTTGGAACCATAACAGTTCCTCCTGTTTAAGGAAGTCCACATATTTTGCCCATATCTCTTATTGCAAAGTATATAAGAATTGAGAATTCCCCATCCAAATGACTATTGATCTTGTTTAAACATAAAAAGATCGAGTTTATGTTTAAAAATATCACCAAACGTTTCTTTATTCCACTTGCACAATGCTTCCTACAAGGATCACATACATTCATTCCAAGGAACATTCTAACTCCAAAATTCCTGAATAAATCTCTTAAAATCATCATGGGTTACAAATCGAAAAAGGGCTTTGTTTCCTATTCTTATAATATAAGTCATCCATTATCACCATCTTCGCTTTATGATCTAATTTAAAAGGAAGGAAGGTGTAAAGATATAACATTTTTAAACACCAACTGCCAAGGTAGAGTAAATATCAAGTTATCAAGCCTTTCTTCCAAATTTCCTCATTTCCAACAATTAAATCACATTCATGAAGAACCTCTTCAAAGTCATGCATACCTCTTCAAGAGGGGTTACTAGATCCACCCCTACGCTCATGAGTCTAAAAGACGGTATTGAAATCTCTAATAAATGCCCAAGGTTCGTCCACAATGACAATAATCCTCAAAATAGTGTCCCAAAGATTCTTTCTTTTCTAGTAATGAGGGCTAGCATAAATTGTAGTGAAAAGCCAGCTCGAGCCATTCCTCCACTTAACCCTCATGTACACACTGATGGTCATGATCAAATATAGCCACCTTCCACTTACAACCCTTCCATAAGCACCAAAGGCCACCTAAATGACCTTAAACCTCTTGAATAAAGAAACCATCATACCTAGTTTTCCCTCTCTCTCTCTCTCTCTCTCTCTCTATATATATATATATATATATATATATATATAGCAAATACATTATTTGTGGGAGCCTTAAAGAGGCATATAAGTGAAACATTATAATCCTTACTTATATCCTTCATAAGCTAACTAAAACCATGAGCCCATGTACCACAACAATTCCAGACAACAAAAATCTATTTAAAATTGGGATAAGGGTTTTATTGTATTGCGACCATCCTCACTTTTAGCCAGATTGTCCATCAAAGAATTGTCCATCAAAGAATCGTCAATTATCATTTCATCTTTATCTACACCATTTATTTGCTTTGAACTCAAGTTCCCAAAAAAGTAATTTCCCCCTACAATCCTGGCCTTCATCTTCTCAATAAAGGATGAATCGATATTTTCATACCAGAGCTTCCCATTAACATTTTTGTCCATAATTCTCATAAAAGGAAGTATATTGATGTGCTTTTTTATGTCCTTGCATCTTTTCTTTGGTAGATTTTATCATTGTTAGCACAATTTTGACACTGACACTCTTAGTGGAGAGATTTAGTTGTTCCAAAGTAAGGTTCTTGATATGATCTTTGTATGATTTGATAAGCAAGTTAAAATACTTTTTTCACAAAATATATTTTTAATATTATTTTTACTGAAGTTTTAATTAGTTTACCCTTGTAAACTCATTTAGTAAAATTTAAGTTACTTTAGAATATACATGGTGCATTATTGTAATCAATATATTTTATTATTTGAATGATAGTAATCAATATATTTTATTATTTGAATGATAATTATTGATCACATAATAGTATGATAGTTAAACTATACAATCTTGTGTTTGTTATTCTTTCATTTTAAGCATATTAAGTTTATAAAGCTTAATTAATTTGTGTAATTAATTATTACTAAGAACTTTTTTTTTACTTTGATAATGATGTAAATTTTTTTTCATCGAATCATTTTCTATAAAAATAAAGAAATATCTCAGATCTTGACTCCATACTCAAGTTAATATCAAACCTTAATCTTTGATTAAAGAATATAAGTATTGATCCATTCAAACTAACAATTCTTGGTATAAATGTTATATAATCAACTTTTCTACCATTATAAAATAAATATAACAATAATTTTAATTTATAAATAAGATAAACTTTATTCACAAAAAAGTACTTTAAAATTTAAAATTAATAAAAATAACTTTATTATATATATTACTATATAAAATATATTTTAAATTAATAATCCGTGTATGACAAAGGTAACATACTAGTGTTTATAAAAGGACGAAAAGAAGTGATTTTTTAAAGTGTTTTTATAGGCAAAATAAAAATAAAATAAAATGACGTGATATTATGAGGGTGACCTAATGTATGTATCTGAAATGCTAGTGTTTCGCATAGCTTCTTATTCTTCTCTGTTTCTGCTTCGGCTCTGTTAGGTTTTCCTTCCGCGCGTTCATCCGCAAGACTCCTCCACCCTTCGGTATCTTCTACATCTCCGTTACCCGATTTCAATTGTTTTGCTCGATTTTCCTCCTCTTTCATATTCTCAAATCAATTGTTCTTCACCATTCGCCTGTTTCCGATTGAAAAAAAAAATGTTTTTTTCCCTTCTAATTGTCATAATTCACTTAGCAACATCGATTAGATGCTGGATATGACCATAGATTTAGTCAATTTCGTGTTTGGAAGCTGCGGGGCTTTTTTGAATTCCGGACCCTAAAATTCACAAATTTAACAAATGTTTCTGCTTGTATTAAGGGAGTACGTATGTTGAATTATTTAACAAAAGTTTTAATTTTTGTGCAATCGTAGGTCATCTGCTATGTCTTGCTTAACTTTTCTGCTTCTAATCGGTGGTAGGCTTTTCTTGTCTAAGTTGTGAACTATCTTTTTACTCCAAGGGTCGGTGTCTAGCTGATAAACTCTACATGAAAATTGTATGAAAAGTTCTTATCTGAAATCTTCACCCCCAATTTTGAAAGAGGATTAGTAATTGACTCTGAGTGACAAAGCCTTACTAAAGAACTCTAATTTGGAAAAGAACTATCTTGTTCTATCATTCATCTCTCCGCAAATACATGAATATATATACGAGTGATATCTCAAAATCTGTCATAAAAATATCTAAGAATGTCTTTAAAAATCTGTCCTAAGCATCTCTCAAGAAATTTGTACTAAAAATTCTTTTTGATACACCAATTGATTATGTACAAGATATGTCAAATAATCTCATTACCCCGCTCAAGTTGGAGCATGCATATTGCAAATGCCCAACGTGCATAACAAGGAAATAAACTGAGTAAGACCAAGTGCTTTGGTGAGTATATCAGCCAATTGCACAGTGATTGAGATGTAATTAGATCCAATGTTGCCTTTTAGAATCTCATTCTGAACAAAATGACCGTCAATTTTGATATGTCTGTATCCTTAAAATATCTTATGGTAAGAAACTGTTGTAGCATTTTATTGGATGACAGCTTTGTTTTCTTTGCTATTTTCTACTTCTAATCATAATATTATGATGTATTTTGGTTCATAAAAATTCCATTTAAATTCTTGGAAGTTACTTGGCTTTATTAACAGGGACTGGTTCTTCCACTTATTTGTAGTTGTGTGTATGTTGTCATGGCTTATCCTGCACAGTTAATTCTAACATTCTGTGCTAATGCTTGTCTTCCTGCATTTATGCAGCTTAAAATGTCTGATATGGATGAGTATCGTTGCTTTATTGGTGGCCTTGCATGGTCAACATCTGATAGAAAGTTAAAGGATACATTTGAAAAGTTTGGCAAGCTTGTTGAGGCAAAGGTGATCAGTATCGTATTATGACTATAATCATTGTTGTTCATCTCAATGAAGTTATTGCTGTCAGTATTGTATTTCATGTTTGTGCTTTGAAGTTGGTTTATGTTGTACACTTTGGTTGAGATCCACAATTTATTCTTTGTTTTTATTCTAGCAGGAAAATTGCAATACCTGCTGAA